AAAGTAATTGGACCTACAAAATGTAGATGTATTATTGCAATATCATCTCATAATGAAGATAGTGATAAAAAGTAATTTTGAACGGGAATAAAAAATATCAACTTAAAGTGCATAAATATATATCTGCTAATGGTAAATCAGGATATTACAAAGTTTACTAGAGAGAATATTTATGGGTAATTTGTAATGGAGGAAATTCTTGAACATACTGTAATGGAAACTAAACGATTTGGTAAAAGCAAACCGGGATTCGGAGAAAATTTCTGTACAGAAAGTTTATTTTGCACTGATGACATCTTTGGTCCAAAAGCCTATATTAAAAAGTTACTGGAGCATAGACGAATATTGAAGGATCCTAAATCAGAACATTAATGTCTTGAAGTAGGTTTATGTCCATTTCAAGAAATATGCACTTTGCAAATAATGAATGCTTGCAACAGGACAGCTTAGTTTTTTTTTTCTTTTTTTAAATTTAGTTTATTATGGCAAAGCACACTAGGGCTATCTGCCTCAAGGCAAGGATGCCTTCATGGAGGACTTTCTAAGAGAAACTGGCTCGTATATACATTACACGTGACAAAAACCTTGAAGAAAACAATGAAGGCAGCCTGTTTACCTGGTATGGAGCCCAGGTCAGAACCACCAGCATTCAGAGACTTTACTGCTCAACTGCTGTTGGGACCTTGCAACAAGATGATCCATTATATAAAAATATGACTGATGATTGACATGACCTCAAAAGTATTCAAAGAACTATACATGCCTGATAAAGACATTTCTTTAGATGAGTTGCTGATGATATGTAGAAGCAGGTTATCTAATATGTAATGTAATAAATAAATAAATAAATTAAAAAAAAAAAACAGATTTGGAAAAATCTACAAACTATTCAACTTCCCAACAAAATATATACATAATTTTAGGAGAAAAGGATAAACGTAATGAAGGGTTAGCAAGCACGAAAACTGTTCTAGATGCGATGGCAGAAAGTAAATTGTTATGAAAGGGTCATTGTTTATATACTGATAATTAGTACACTAACACTAATTTATATAATAAATTATATAAACTGAAAAATGTTTCTGGCATGGAAAGAATCAATAGAAAAGGAATGCCTAAAGCTCTAAAAAAATATAAAATCAGAATAAAGCTACTATACTCCAGCCAAAACAAAAATATTATCATGTTATCACAAATGCATAACTTGGAATTTGCTAATACAGGAAAATCAAATTATAAAACTAGAGAAAACACTACAAAGCAATAAGTTGTGCTGGATTACAATAAAAGCATGAATGATGTTGATGGAGATCAAATTCTTAGGAAATTCCCAGTTATACAATGATTTCAGAAGGTTAAAACAAAAAAAAAAAAAAAAAAAAAAGCTTTGATGTGATGCTGTCAGACAGTTACATTATTTTCAAAAGTTATTCATAAAGACATAACATTTAAAATCTTCAAGCAGAAATTAGAAGAATTAATTGAACTAATAAACCATAAATAAAAGCATCAGCAACTTGAGAAATTACACCATGTCAATCATTACTGTCAAAATTTAGTGACCCCCATTTTCTAAGACCCACAGAAAACTTTCAAATGCCTATAGTTTGTTTATCCCTCTCCTACAAAAAAACTTTTTTAGCAGATTTTTAAGAATTTTTATTATAACTGCCATGTGGCTGTAAGCATTGACCATTCTAAGTACTATCATAATGTGTCACACTATTAAATTCAATTTCTCATTATTTTCAAAGTACTGAACTAAAAAAATTATAAATTCTTTGTGTATGCTATTTTGTTTTTAATTTTTTATCATTTCTAAATATTTCTAATCTTTACACAATAAAAAAAAAATGTGATGATATGGGCCAATTTTCCACTTTTTCGAATGATGCAAATGAGTTGAAGATAAGATGTGATTTTCCAATTTTGAGTAAAGGTCGAAGTCATTTTCATGCGGAGTTTGACCGACTCATGAAAGACAGCGTGGAGTAACAAGTCATTTTTGACTTAAATTGTCGCTGGTTGAAGGGAGATTTTAAATTTAAGCCACTGGCTAGAAAAGAATTTTTAGTATTTATTTAGACAGTTTCATTTAAACTAAACATCCGTAATTACATTAATTTAATTTTGTACTCAGTGCCTAACAGGTAACCACTCTCCCTATTTCCTGATTTGCCACCATCAGAGTACTTTCTTTTTCTGAAACAAGAATCTGCTACAAAAGGATGATGATTTTCTAATGTAAAGGGCATTCCAAAAATTAGAGAATTTTAAATTGTACCTTTAAACAACTATAAAACCAGTTTTAACAATTTTTACAATCATGCACTTTAACTATAGGGATACTGGAGGTAATTGCTTTGTGAAAAATAGTATTACATCTTGTACATATGCTTAAGTTTCATGAGTAAACAATGCTTTCATTTTAAATTAATGCACAAACTTTCATATTCAACAAACAGAAGTTTCTGGTAATGTCATATGCTAGTGCAACAAGAAACTGCATTTGAAACATCACTATACATTAATTAATAAAACTTAAATATAGGCTGACCACATTTCTGCATGACAAAATAGGACATCAGACTGGCACAAAAGGGATGAGGATTAGTCATGAAAAAGAAGACAGAAAAATGTGTATGGCATAAACATGTTGAACTGTTGCTTCTTTTTTGATTAACAAAATAGATATCAAATTAAATTACAAGTGGAACATGTTTTACCAAGAGCATAACATAAATATTTCTCTTATACATTAAATTTCAGTTTTTTTATCAACTTATCATAAAAGTGTCATGTTCTATGACACAAACATTCTCTCACAAGTGGCATAGCTTTTATTGCCTCAATATTTAACCTATAGTCTGTCACTTGAAAAAAGGCACTTTAATGTCTTAATGATGCACCTTTCATTTACGAACTTATGTTGTCATCACTCCACTTACTTTTCCACCTCATTTGAGACTGTAGTTAGCTTTCATTCATACAAATACTCAAATGGAAATAAAAAAGATTGAATTCTATTTTCCTGGCAATAAATATGACTGGAATTGCGAAGAAAACCTCTTTAGAAAAGAAAAAAATTCACAGAGGTTAAATAGGATAAGAAAACTATAGACAATTTGTAAAAAATCTGAAGAATAACTAAAAGAAAAGGTTTTAAAAGACTTTCTATTAAAGCGAGACAATGATCTATTAGAAATGGAGAAAATAATTTTAACCCTTGATAACTGTCCGTTTTATACTGTGGCTATAACTCAAAGGGATAGAAGATTGTATTCAATAAGAAAGGGAAAATACCACTCAACCAAGAAATCAGAGTATTTTAAAATTGTGGATCAGCCAAGCATGAGACAGAAAACTGTTAAAGCTATTGCTGAAAAGAAAGCAATCACTTTTTAAATAAGGAAGAAAAGAAGTTCATTAAAAATTTTTATTTGTTTCTGTAAGGCAAGATTTTCCCAAAAATAATGTCAGACACTAATAGGCATGATGAAGCATTTTTTAAAGAAAGTATTTGCAATGAAAACATGTCAAATGAAAAAAGCAAGTATGATATTCAAGTAAAAATCTTATCATAAAGAGCAGTTCAGAAAGGCCTAAATATTAAAAGAAAAATGTCTGATTACAAAAGTGCATTATAGAAAATTTATGCCCTATTTTATGATTTAGAATGAACATGCAGAAAGACATTTAAAACCCTTCCGCTAAAGTAACGATGGATAAATTTGATTATATTAAAAAAATTCCCAATTATTAGGGTATGGAATGTATGTATAATATTTGACATACATTCATATAATTAACTGCAACAAAATTATAATAGTTTTTAATGAAGAAAAATATTCATTAAACAGATAAATTAATTATTTAACAATTACTGGTTAATTACTTATCAAAATATATTCTTATCAAAACAAACAGCAGTTAATGTAATTTGATTCTGTGTACAAACCATTTTTATAAAATGATTCTAGAAAGATGAGCAATATTTGGTGCATTTTAACGCCGCTCAAATTGTCAGGCGTTTTTAACTGCTTAATGAAAAGTACCATATTTGCCAGCGTATAAGACGCACCGGCCTATACGATGCACCCCCTTTTTTATACACATTTTTAAGGATAAAACTCTATTACCGATCATTATAATTCCCTTAAGTTATCATTTTCTCAGCTGGGGGTGGCCCGAAATACCTCTCTGCAGCACTGTTTCGATGTTCTTTAGCATACGCAATCACACATAGCTTGCATGCTATGTTATAGCAATGCTGACCTTGTTTTTGAGCCATAACTTGCCAACAAATTTAAGAAAATTCAATAGTAAAAATTTCACACTTAAAAGTCGTTCACAAAAATTGGAAGTTTTAAACAAACCCAGCTGTGATCATTGATGACAGTGAATGCACATTCACTGAATGTCTACATAAGTGTAATATATTCCCACACTCCACAAGAAAAAAAATCCAAATAGAGGAAATTTCCAGAAATGAATGTAATCAAAAACTGAGTATTGACATATTAAGACGCACCCTGTTTTTCAGACCTATTTTCAAAGAAAAAAGCGTGTCATATGCCAGCAAATACGGTAAATGACAGTGCATGCACATTCACTGAAGTCTACATAAGTGTAATATATTCCCACACTCCACAAGAAAACAAGAAAAAAAAATCCAAATAGAGGAAATTTCCAGAAATGAATGTAATCAAAAACTGAGTATTGACATATTAACACGCACACTGTTTTTCAGACCTATTTTCAAAGAAAAAAGTGTGTCATATGCCAGCAAATACGGTAATTCCTAGGAATGACTTTTACATTATATATATACAGAAAAAACATAAAAGTTGAAAAACACCTTGTAAATCTAAAAAATTAAAAATATAGAACACATTTTTTTTATAACTCAGAGCCAAACCATAGATGTTTATCAAAGATGAGAAGCATGTGAAGTTAAAAAACATCTTTGGAACGCAAATATTAAAAAATATCACTCAAGGTTTTATAAAAGTTCCTGTTTTATTTTTCTTGAACATTATATAAATTAAACTCTCAAGAAGAAAATCTGTTTTCATTTTAAGCCATTTAGAAGTAGCATCAGTAAGGAATACTGACTTGAGATAAAATTTGATGATCAGGTATCAAACACCACCAATGAACAAAGAATGTCAACATTTTATTAGATACTCTTACATTTTATAAATATTTCTTACACAGTCAAAAAAATACTTCAGAATTTTAAGACAAATATTACAGCATTTAAAAATAATGTAATTATTTCAATGATAGTGAAATTTGTGGAATGTTATACAATGAAAATTCATAGAATGACCTTATAAATTATATCATCCAAATTTCAACAGATGTTAAAATGTAAATGTAAAATAACCTATGAATAGATAGGTAAAATAAATACATTTTATGAAAAAGCATGTACTACAACGCAACGTTCAGAAGGCATATGATGCATATTTGGATAATCCCACATGTACACACACAAAAAACAAAGAAAGAAAAATTATGTATGTTTTTCGAGAATCATGATATAACAGAATATCTGTGCAACAGACATAGGACTTCTTATAACTAAAATTTACTGAATGTACAGTAAAATAAGTACAGCTCTTAATTCCAAATATATTTTTAAGACAATAAAAAAATTATTTAAAAACACTACAATTGTGAAATTAAAAATATTGACATTGTTTCCCTCCTTGTTAGGTTTATTACCTTTATCATACTTTAAAATTGAACAATAAAATAAAAGATCTAAAACGAGAACAAATCTGAATGAAAGTATAATAAATGACATTAAGTTACAGCAGTAAGAATTAAGATATCTAGAAGATTTAGAATGCACATATATTTCCAAAACTTGAATTTATATTTGTTTATTCTTATTTCTTAAAGGATGGTCAAAAGATGAATAAAACATTTTATATGTAACATGTTCATTAGTATCCATCAGTATGAATCAATATTTAAAATTGTACACAATACATAAATACTTATTTTAGAAGTTATTAAAATCATATTCATTATTAAACAAAATAATCTTTTACAATTTATTTATTTTGGATGCAAGGAATCTAAAAATATTATCACACTACTCTAGAAACATTACAGTGTGTTTTTTGAGGGCAGGATGTACAATATGGTTACTATAAAGTAAATATTAAAAATGCTAAACCCCTGAATAACAGTTTCATATTTTTTCATAAGTCAGTACAGATAAAAGGAACTCACAAAAAATGCTATACTTTTTTCTATTATAGGACTTAACAATTGATGAAAATAAATAATATGGCACAGCAGCCATATTTTGCTAAGTGCATAGTTTAAATTAGTTTCAATACACTAGTATCAGAAAATTCATTTTATTTCTTATATATAAAATAAAGTTCATCAAAACTGGATCTCTAAGAAAACAGTTATTCCCCTTCCTTTATCACAACAAAATACTACTAAATTTATAAAGGAGCTATATAGCATTTGTAATTAAAATATGTACAAAGTTTTTGCCCAAAACTGACTAGTCAGGCATATTTTATGACATGGCATTAAGAGAATTGAAGTCTGTAATTTGTAGCATTTTAGCTCCTTATCTACAAATATTGCATTAATATCACTGTACATTCTGAAAGTCATTGTCAGTGGGATTTGTAATTGCATATTTCAAAAGCTCTGTAAGACCGGATGAAGAAACGTTTCAATACAGCTCTTAGCTCAGTTTTAGCTTCATGGAAAATCATCTCACAAAATAACAAATAATATGCAGATGCATGTATACAAAACTGGAAAAAAAAAGGCAAACCAAATTATATACATATGATTATTTGTACATGGAAGATAAACAATAATTATATTTCTTTAAGATGTGAGTGCAAAGGAATTAAACAATTTCTTTATATTAGAAGCCATAAATCATCACTTCACTATGGCAATGTTTATGCCAAAAGAAATTACAGCAACCCTCCCCTTTTCCTATTGTAATAACATTTTCTCAAGTACCAGAATTCTTTAAAATGTTTGGATAACATATTACTCTACTGATCACATAATTTTTTTAAAGTGCCCAGATAGCTCAATTATTGACTGAAATAACTTGATCAGTCTCTCGTATCTCTATTAAAGAATAAAAATTCTATTAACTATGCCATTTTAATCTAGCCCTTTTATTAAGTTTCTTAATCTTCCTTTTCAGTATAGGGGGATTAAAAAAAAATCAGATTTTTGAAAAACTACTCATTTGGAAAGTTTTATCAAAATACAAGAAACTGTGAAGCTTCCTACTCACAGCTTAATTAATATCTGTGCAATTCAAATGTGAAGATGACCTTTTTAGAGAATGAAATATAATACTTTCTTCTTTCTAATCACTATCTATGACTTTTCAATGCCGGAACTAGATTCCTTCCCTATAGTGTCCAATACTAAAGAACGTGTGAGAAGATTAAAATCTAGTTCTCTTTCTTGACGTATTATTACTTAAAATTTTTCAGTGTTCACAATCTAGGCTTTTTGTTTTGTTTCTTTTGCTGTTTAACTAGTAACTAGATCACTTTAGAAATAGGCTTAACATTGCAAGCTGCTTAAAAAGAATCTCTGTGATCCTGTTAGTTTACATTGTGAATCTGCTCAGGAAAATTTGTTATATTTTTTCAGCATTTAGTGCTCTAATTCTACACAGAATTTTTCCAGTTAAATATTAAAAACATGGAGAGTTCTAACTAATTAAAACATGGAGAGTAAAACTTTCTAAAGTTATCTTCTAAACATGATAACTTTAGAAATAGAATGACTCAATCTTAAATAGTGCCAATGATGCATGAATTTTCATTTAAGAAAATCAGTAATAAAGCCTGATAAATCAGTACTGATGCAATAAAGAGAAAAAATTCAACTTAACAAAGCTTTTTGTAACAATATGAGCTTAACAAGACAAATAAAAATTTAAAACTAAATGTGATAAAAATAATGTGAAGCTGTAAGTCTTTAAGAATAAAATGTACCACAAAGTAAATTCAAATTCATATAAAACTTCCAAAATAGGAGCAGAAACAACTTTTTTTTTTTTTTTTTTTACAATTATTTTACAAAATGAGAAGTTGCCTTAAGTTACTACTCTGCCTTTACTGAAATCAAAGCACTTAAATCAAATGAATTAATATATTTGCCATCCAATGTTGCATTGCTATTTGATAGAACTTTAAGCAATAATATGTCAAAACATCTGATTAAAAGGAATCAATGAAGGTAAATCTCGTTTCTATCCATGATGCTATTCAGTCTACCCTTAAATGATAGCATGATATTTCAAGAACAATTGTTGCATAAAGCTCGGTACAACTACAGCATATGCTGTAAGCATTTAGGTTTCACAAATAAAAAGGCACGAGAAATTAATGAATAGTTTCAGGTTAATTACTGTATACCTGTTGCAGATTTATTTCAAAACTGATTAATCTGGGGGAAAGAAGGAAAAGGAAATGAAACTATGCAAATGTAGACAAGGATTTACCAATTTTGGCTGAAAACAAAATACCCTCCCTGCCTAAAAAGAAGAATATCAAAAATTTTCCTAAAAAGAAGAATATCAAGTGTTAAGACAAATAAATTTATAATTTTGTAGCTAAAAAATGATACAATTATTAAGAGGGAGAATATACATATACAAGGTGTTTCACCAGGTACTCTTCTCCAATGAAAAAACATTTTTCTGCCCCCCCCTCTGCAAGATAGAAAGGGGATATTTTCAAGGGGCCTTCAGCTACGTAAAACGCTAAACAGTTATTATAAGATGATGACACTGATGCTAAATGGTTTATCAACTAAGTAACAATGTTTCACAGTCATTAAATGTCTTGCACCATGGTGTTTTTCATGTAAAAAATTTCAAGATGATGCAGTCTGGAAAAGATCCCAATTAATCAGGTCAGGAAGGCCAATCAAGGTTCATGATGACATTGTTCAAGTAAAAACCCATGTTATATGATACGATAAATTGCAGAAACATTGAACATCTATCACTCAAGCATTCATGACTGCCTAAAGATGCTGCATATAAAATCGAGCTTGATGTTTGGGTTCCTCATGAACTCAAAAGTTCATCTGATGACACATATAAACATCTACAATACATTCATCAAACTGAGAGAACTTACCCTATTTTGAAGTATGTAAACAATGACAATGAAAAGTGGAGTGCTTACAAGAATGTGATGAGCAGTTTTGATCTTGATGTGATTTGCTTTAAATGACATGAACAGTAGACATTCATCACATGAAGATTTTTCTTTCAGTAAGGTGAGATTTTAAAGGTGTGCTTTTTAAGCTTTAAAACAAAGGAACCAAAAAACCAATTTAAATGTGTACGATCAGATATTAAAATGTTTAAACAAATCCATCAAATCGGAGCTTGCTAATCATAATAAAGTTGTGGTCCATAACGACAATGCAAAACTACATAAAAGTCTGATCAACCGAAAAACATATTTGGAGCCTGGATAGAATATACTGTCAAACGTTACTCCCCTAAATTTTGCACCTACAGATTTCGACTTATTTTGCTCTCTTTAAAATTCTTTGCAAGGTGTAATGTTTATTTCAGATGAGGCTGTAAATACCCTCTTTTTAAGTTTCTTGTTCGAAACACTGGTTCTCTTCTGTGAACAAGTTATGAAGCTCACTGAAAGATTGTAAAAGGTCTCAAACAAAATGAGTAATATGTTCTATTGACAAACTAATTCTAAACAAAATGAGTAATAGACTGATTCCCTACCCCTTCTATAAGCAAATGACTTTTGAAAAACAGAAAAAATACATCAAATTATCCAACAACCCAACATCTAGGCTTCCTTTGATTTATGACTTTGTGCAGTTCAAGTAATAAAAACATCTCTTAAATGTTTAAAATTTATCACAGGCTAAATAAAACCTAAGATATAATTATCAGCCCTTTATCAAATTACTGCTGAACTTCAAAATTCTATTTATGCTTTTGTGTAATAACTTATGGTTATGGACTACAGGTTTAAAACAACAAATTATTATTTCAATTCAATGCATAAACTATGAGTATGACCTTTTTTATTGACATTTGTTTTAGATATAGTTGGTGATCCTAATTCTGATATCTGGGTTTCCAAATGTAAATAAAACATTTATGTCAAACTACTACATTCTTCTGCTCCACTTACATGCAGCAGACATTAAGACAGTCTATCTAACAAATAACTTTGGTTAATTTTGCCAGTTTGCTGCAGACACATCATAATCATAGTATACTGTCTCTATCTAAATTGGTGATAAAATGGCTAGAAGGCCAGAGATTTCCACTTATGCCCATGAGGATCACTAAAGAAAAAAATTTTTACCTCGCAAAATAAAAAAATGATATTTGCATTTCCTGATACTTTGTTATGACAAACAAAAATTGTTATTAGCATATAAATTAGAATCCATTTGTATACTATATAATGTACCATATTGAATAGGGTAAGATTTGAAATTATAATGCATTCCACCAATAATTAAACAAGAAGATAGGAATTTAATGATGAGGGCATGCTTTTTTCACAGTGATCCTAAACTAGTGCTTTGCAGTGATGGAATAATTTCAATTAATAGGCATTTAAAAAAAAAAAGCTATATGTACATCTTTATTTATTTTTTTCTTGAAACTTTTGGCTGCAACTGTACGTGCAATACGAGTGATTGTCCTTTTATACATACACATTGAATGCTGTGATTCGAATTAGTGCAATTACTCTTGCAAAAATATTATATTAATGGATATTTATCAAAAACATTTGTCAGTTGCTAACTTAATTCTTCTGTTAAATAACCAAATATTTCCCATCTGAGTGTAGTAAGTGTACAGGTAACCATTGATTTGAGCTGATTCAAATTTCGTCTGTTCTGAGTAACACAGATTTCGAGATCAGGAAATCAAAAACAGAAAACTACATTTTACTGTCATTTATCACATTCTATATTATTGTATTTCTTATTAGTGTTGCATTCTGTGTTGAACAAAGACTATACAATCTTTACACAGGTCCTGGTGTATTTCTATTACAAAATTTTCTATGTGATGGTAACTTACCTAATGCTAATATTGCATAACAGGAAAGATAATTACAACTAATTATGTGGGCTACTGTGCACTATTTTTAAAAGTTCCTTAAATACATTACTTCAGAACTTTAAATGCATCAATGACTAGGTGTCATGGGTGCATGACATTCACTCATCATTTTCCTATTAATTTACATTATAAAATGCTTTCAATACAAACTTATTAAACCTTTTCTTCAGCATAAATTACAGATTACCTATAATAACATGGAACTTTTCATTAATGAAGTTCTATGCATTTACAGAAAAATTCTACCTTTAAAAAATTCAAAAGATATAGATATAACTATTTGAAGAAAAAATGGAGATTTAGCTATTTTACAGAAGGCAATTAAAAAATAAACAGCATGAAAATAAAATACAGTTGGGATTGCAGCAATAAATTTATTTTTGAAATACAGATATAATATGAAAATTTAACTTTACAATTTTATTTACCATCACTAAACGCTTACCATTTCCTAAATGCATACCAGAGGCAATGATATTCAAAGCAGCTGTGTCAGTGAAATGAAAAGTTCATTGAGAACTATGATTACGTAAAAATTTTATTGATTATTATTCACAGACATTACAAACAAAGTTTGCTATAAAAAAAAAAAAAAAAAAAAAACCTCACAGTTGTAACATCACAAGTTGTGAAACAGTCTAAAAATATTTAGAATATGGGCTGCTTATTGAAAGGAAAAAGCACAGGATAGTAAAAAGGATTCATGTAACTGGTTAAGCCACAGCAAGCTAACACACACTTAACATACTGCAACAATCATTACAGACGGCATTTCTGCAATCTGTAGCATGCAGCATCATTTTCTATTAGTTTATGACTTAAATACCAGTGCTCTAGTCAGCATTTCAGCACTACTAAATAAATATTGGAAAACTACAGTTTCATGTTATATTTGCATCCCTGAAATATATTCAATGTAGTAGTCACAGATATGTCTTCTTTCTGTAACATTTAATTTGAATTACCATGTATTCATATTCCTAAGGACCATCATTAACCGCTTCCCTTACAAATTTTTTTTGAAAAAACTTGCAAAAAAATCATCACATTTTTTTATTTTATAATTAAATACAACGAAACGAAACAAATCAAAATACGTAGGTTTTAAGTTGAATTTTTAATTTTTTGAAGGTGTAAAAGCATTTAGTTTTAATATTAGTTTACTATCCCGAGTTATCTCGGGCAAACGGAGAAAAGTTAAATATTAGTCTTTGTATGATAGTTTTTGAAACAAGGAACAACACAAAGTGATACCTGACATTCTACACTGGTATCTGGTCTCTTTTCTTACTGGCTTATCGCTGAAATCTCTCTATGGGAGCACAGAAGTACAATGTCTTGTTGTATTTGATTTTTAAAAAATTTTTTCCCACCTCTTCATAATCACTATCTGGAAAATCATCGCTTTCATTATCTTGCATCATTACCATTATTTTTTTTTTTCAACACATGTATTCTTCTTTATACATTACTAATCCACAAGCTGGCGCATACCACACAATAGGAAAACACATGACCAGTCCCTCGAAAAGAACTGCGCACCAACAAAATTTGGCAAACTGCCAATCAAAGCTGAATATTTCCTTTCATTTTCTCCAGGCTGAGTAAAACCGTGATAAAACAAATCGTACTAACAAATTCTGCTTCGCCCGAGTTTTCACAGGATAATAATTAACTTCAATATATACGAACCCGAGATAATTCGGGATAATCAGGCAAGCGGTTAAAGACATAATCAGATATACTTTCCCATCTCAAAACTAAAAACCTTTATGCAGAAATAAAAAATAATGCTTTGAATTTTAGAAATTAATAACTTTCCCATCCAAATTTCATATGACAAATGAAGCAAATACTTTTACATAAAAAGTTCTAATGTTAGGATCAGTTACAATGTTTTTAAACTTAACAGATTATGAACTAAAAGCAATATCATACAAAATCATTAAAATAAAAAATACAAGAACAAAAAAAAAAAAAAAAGAGCTTACCCGTGCATCATCCAACTGATTAACGCAGCAAAATAGTAAGAGTAAGAGACTAGTATATGAATCCTTATGTTTTTCAGCAGTTAGACTAAGATAGTACTCTAGTGCTTCTTGGCATATTCTAAGTAAGTATAAATCAGTAAGTTATACATGTAAGATTATTTCATTTTGGTGGTTCTTAAGCTTTCTGACTTTATTATCCCTCACATGTGCAAACAAATTTTCTTTTTTTTTATGAATATAAAAAAGAAAAATTCACAAAAGTAATTGTCTGTTTACCAAAAAGGAGAAAAAAGGTTTTTTTCATGACTTTATGCATATTTAATCAATCAGATCATTCCCCCCCAACTGCCATTTATGAATCTGTGATTAAATGCCATTAACTTACCAAATGCAAAAAAATATTTCAAAATAATTTAAGAATGTAATAATTTCAAATTCCATACACTTCATAAAATCATGGATATATTTTATAAAAACATCCACTTTAACATAATATTACATTTTTACATAAAATTATGAAAGCATTTATAACAATTTTTCAGATTATATTCAACTTGAAATATTTTACTATTTATGTACTTTATAAAAATATGAAGTGCATTCTTAATTAAAAAAAGGCTAGAATGAATATCATTAGATCAAAAGTTAGAAAGAAAGTAAATGAGCTCAGGTAAGGTCACCGGGCCAAAAACTGAAAAAATGTTGGATGAAAAATACCTACTGTTAACATTTAAACACAAATGTAGCTTGCGTATGGTTACATAAAAAAAGCAATAACTACATTGAATGTCTTTTCAGAATATACCCATATGCAGCTTTACTGAAAAACAAATTAAGTTAGTCTCATTTATTCTCAGCACTACTACTATTTGAAGAGCTCGCATTTATTAGAGGTAAGCTATATTATATATATGTGTGTGTGTGTGCATGTAAGATATAACAAAATATGATAGCTGCTTAAAAAATAATTGGCGACCTCAAAATTAACATTCTAGATTAGGTGATCTCCTCCCTCTAAATTTATCTGTTCTCCCAAATTTGATATTTTTCTAAGTTATATAATGCTACTGGAAAAGGGCAAGTTAAACAAATATTAATAAATTATAGCTTGTCTCTAGAATGACAACTACTTTGGTATAAATACCTCTGGCGAGCTAATTACATAATTATTCTGTGAGCTTCTACATTGCTAATATTTCACCGCTTTGCTTCCCTGTCTATAACGCTTGCATCTTAATTTTAAGAAACCAATGTAGATGGCAATTTATCATATTTCATTATGAATAGATAAATATCTACTGAGATGATCTGATATGCGTGGAAATAAAAACTGAATTCACAAAGTTCATGTTTTGTTATCTTCATCTGTAAGCCTTCGCTATAGGCCACAAAGACTGTCAACTGATTTCTCTTCTATGCTTCAAAAATATTACATATCTACATTGATCAGCCAAAATATTATGATCATCCCATATTTTTCTATGAACTCATATTTGGATCATAAGCAGGGCAGGTGATTAAGTGGAAATGGTATATAACTGCTGCTGGAGAAGGTAAGGAATAATTCTTGCACTTCTGCAAGTGATGGGAAAGGCAGTTGTACCTTTACATGGTGTCTGTCTTCCCAACTGGAAATAGAATCTTCCAGCAGGACAACACCCCATGTCACAAGTCTTAAATAATGTAGGAACAGTTCAAGAAGGATAAGGATGAATTCCAATTAATGTCCTGGCCACCTAACTTGCCAGATCTTAACCCAATACAGCACATTTGGAATGTCATGGAGCAGCAGCTGAGAGCTCAAACACCACCATGCCAGAATATCATGACTATTGCTTAGACATTTGGTACAGGCTTTCTCCCGTCATCTACCAAGAACTTGTGGCATCCATGCTTAGGTGAGCTGCAGCTGTTTTGCAGACCAAAGGTCGAGCAACACATTATTGAACAGGCAGTCATAATGTTTAGGCTCTTTAATACACACATACATACAAATACACACACACACACACACACATATTAAATTAATTCACTGGGAATTTAAACATTTCGAAAAAAGTTATAAATAACGCTTTTCACAATTAACTGCATAGAGCTAAAAAATTCTGTACTGAAGTTAATTAGAAGAAGAAACCCTATTTTTCATTAATATAAATCCAAAATATTACATTAAATCTTTCTGTGAAAAAAAAAAAAAGAGCATTAACTACCAAACATATTCTCTGGTTTTATATAACGAAATGAATGATTGTACTATTTTAAACCAAAAGGAGAATAATGTAGAAAGATACATAAAATTAGCAGCTTGTTAATATGTAAATAATTCTCTTTTCATATACAGCTTCTGTACTATAATTCTGGCTCTCCTTTTACTACCAAGCTAATTTTGTTTCCAAGTCCCACAACTGCGGTTGGGTGAAGACTTAATTTTGCTACCTTTATTTTCCATAACTTTGCCAGAAATTAAACTTATAGTTTAGCTTTTAATGTTTAAAACCACCGTAAGTATTCTTTACCATCTTATTGGTCTCTTCCTATTGCCTCACCACTACTTTTTGGCAAACCTAAATTTTGCTACTAGCACCATAAACTTGTTCTTGAAGAGTTTTCCTTTTTCCTGCCTAATTTCTCATCTATGCCATTATTTCAACAACCTTAACATGGTTTCTGTTCAAAGTACAGAGTCTAGTTTGACTATTTCCCAATATGAATAATTTTCACAAGAAATGGCAGTCTTGCTCTATACTTTCTATGTGTCACATTTGAAAACTGAAATACTGTGCCATTTTAATTTTGAACCCAAAGTTTTTGTTTCATTCAGTAATTTTATTAACATTTTCCATTTGGCTTATTTTAACTTAAGGGGAAGTATCCCACAATTTTCTCTTTTATACGGTAAATTTGACTGAAATTTAAGTTTTTGATATTTTTCTATAAAATTTGTTTTATAGGCTCTTAAACATTTGGCCAAATTAGTTACATAGAAAATTTTTGTAGGTTAAAATTACATGGTTATATTGACTTTCTCTGTAAACTGATATGTTGAAAATTAGATTTTTAATTAGCATTTTAATTTGTTTGTTTGACTCTTTGAGAGTGGGTGTAAATTACTGCATAATACTTAATTGTATAGAAAGTTTTATTTTTTTAATATTAATTTTGCTCAAAAAGTCAAGTTGAACAAAATGTGAATTCGGTAATCCTTTATTATTCATATTTTAATGTTTTAAATTATTAGCCCCTGAAGAGTTGATTTGAAGTATTCAAATACAATTAATTAATCTGCATTTTCAATTGAAATTAAAAAAAAAATATTAAAACTTCCTAATTTTTTTTCCTTTTGATTTGCATCTTATTTATCATAAAATGTAATAGATTCTCTTTTTTAAATTCAAATTAAAGATTTTTTCCAGGCTAGTATAATCTTTTTCTTATAATTCATAAATTTAATTTTTTTGTTTTTTCCCGTCCCCCCTCTCTCTACATATAAGGAAGGAAAGAGCTATGAGAAAAATTTCATATACATCTAAGAAAGCTGGTAAACATATAAAATATGTTTTAAAAGCTGAAGTTTAGGGAGGAAGTCTCAAGGTTAAGAACCACAGTTTTATTGTAATGCAGTGAATGGACTATGCAAGATGTGCAAAAATATAAAATAAAAATTCAGAAACAGATGCTCTGCTTTAACTCTTGAAGAAATAAAAGATACATGTAAACTGAGACAGTAATCAATATGAATTCAATTATTCATAAATGATTTCTAAAAGCAGAGAATAAATTCTTATCAATTCAATTTTCAAGTTTTCCTTCATACTTGAAAAATTTTAATGTGCGTGGTTTAAGCTTGGAATTATGAGCAATTAAAACACAAATCGCGTTTATAAAGCAAAAAATACATTTACTAACCTTACTGTGCAACACATGAGTATCAATATGGCTACTATACCATCATGTTGTGAGTTGGATTATCTATGAAAAGCACAATCTATGAAAGATCTATGTATATGTAAGACTGCATAATCAATTAGCAAAATGCTAGTTTTCATGCACAGTTTAATTTCTAATAAACACACAGTTTGTCTAGTACAAGGGTTCTCAACCAAGAAGGGGTGATTTTATAGTTTCAGAGGGGAATGTGGTCAGCCTTTTATTTAACAATAAAGTATTTAGTTTTAGTATTTATTAATATTTGCTATATTTTTCTTGTTTAATTTATAAAACACATTAAAAAATAATTATATTCAAAGAAATGTGTATTTATTTTTCGAGTTTTGGAAAGGAGGGGGATCATCTAGCAGTGGTGAAAAGGGTGCATAGGGCAAAGAAGTTTGAGAAATAGTGGTTTAGCATTTTGCATAGGCTCTATTCTGTAATACTCACAATTTTATCAATGAATTACATTTACAAATACAAATCAAGCTGGGCCAGCATGTAATATAAATCATCTGAAATGCCAAACAAGTAGCCCTTCAGCTGCAACAATAAACCTTGACACACAAAATAAAATGCTCAATGAAAGTGCTATTTATTCTCCCTACAACATAAATAAAAGACCTGTCAAATATACGTCTTGTGTTCAGTATGGTTCATAGGAGTTTTAATGCATGAATTCAGCTACATAGATGAGAAAAATTCATTACATTTCTACTACTTTTATCACTAGGAAAAAATATGCATGTGCAATTTCAGAATACATTAATAATGCAATCAAGAGCAAATACAATGGTCTTATAAGAATAGAAGCTCTAGAAACGGATTTCTTTCAGTAACAGAATGAAGGTAATTTTACCTAGAACCAATTTTATTAATCTAGGAAAATATTAATGCAAAAATACCATTAAAAGTAATGTAATAATTTTCCCTTTTGGAACTTGGTAAATGAGACAGCTAACAGAAAAGATTGGCCTCTGTAATAAAGATTACAGAACACCTACAGAGGCCTCTAGATTGGCCTCTGTAGGTGTTCTTCAGAATATATTATTATACTGTGATGCATATACAGAGCAAGTCCAAGGTCTGAAATTCAACGGAGAATTCAACGAATCGAGATTTTGGAAATTTCCGAATCTTAGATTATCAATTTAAATACAGTAAGATGACATGCAAAAATTACAAAATTATGGAAGGTTGGTTGTGAACTAATGAAGCATTAACATCTGAAAATAACCAAAATCCCCCCCTCCACACACACACAAAAAGGCTTAATGTTAACATTTGTTTTATTAAATTCTCAAATGTAAGTTATTAGGGAATTTTTTAAACATATTAATACATTTTTTTAAAAAAATTAACGTTCTCTGTTTATTTAATATGTTAAAACTTTTTATTTAATTTAATGCTTTTCTGCCTATGTTTATGGAGGCATTTTTAAAAACATCTGCAGACCCATCCTCTCACAATACTGAAATGATCCACAAAGCAGAATTTATTCCAAAATATTTCAAGAATTCTAGGATGATCCTACTAGTGCACTATCTGATTAATGGATATGAAGTTTCACGGGGAAGGGTAAAATTTAGATGTTTTCTTTTACCAAAGCATTACCTTTGATAAATAATAGGCTTAGCAAAATAATAAACTTTATCAAATCAAGAAGAGTGCAGTTCACTGAGCTTAAGTTATCAGAACCTCTTTCTGGCTCTTTCCTGTTATGGCAAAAAAAAAAAAAAAAAAAAAAAAAAAGGGGGGGGGGGAACTATTATGTACAACATTCCATTCAAACAAAACACTGTCTTTGGGATTCTCTTTTTGTGTACAAGGCTAGATAAGGGTAGAAAAATTCTTCCTCCACATACATTTAGGAACCAAAAGTGTAATTCACTATCTGGCAGGTGTTTAAAGCCAACATATGCAGCATGATTCAATGTTACTGCTGATAATATTTTTCAGAAGGAGAAAAAACACTACAACTAATTGGAACAACAATCGATTGACAGCACACCTGCTTTTGCTTGAGTATTATATTATCATGCACTTCTACACTATATGAGAAAAAGAAAAAAGCTTACAAAATATGGGATATCTGGATAATGGATCATCTCAGTTATTGGACATATGGATTTCAAACTTTGTACTATATAAAGAACACTATAAATTATGCTAAAAATTATACTTCACTAATTTATGTGAAGAAAGTAAACATCCTAAAAAGTTTTCCCATTATGTTAAATAAATAGCTGGAGCAAACTACACTTTCAATTTGCCTATAATTCAAACACATTAAATTTATCAAGATAATAAAATCATATACTTACAAAATAAGTTTCTGCTCAACTACCTCCCAGGAATCTCGTCTGGTCTCATCAGCGTAAATCCGGAATAAAATTCTAAGTGAGCAGGCCAAGCTATTGGACTCGTGCATTAACAACTCAGGCTTAACATTTCCTCTAAATCCTAAAGTGAGGCAGAGAAGTAACAAAATACGCAGATTTCTAATTTTATTATAGCTGATTACAACGCATAAGCAATATTTATAAAGAATTCCTTAACACTCATGAAAATTTAAAACTGTGATTCTAAATAATCTCAGTCATATTTTCATTTTACTTAAATAAGAAACAAACTCATATACAATGCTACTTTCTCTAATAAATCTGAGATATTTTCTTGATTGCAGATTAAAAAAAACTATTATCTGCAAGTTATTCGTACACAAGAAACAGTATATTGCGAGATGCATAACATACACCGATAAACTAATTATAAATGTTATAATGTACAAAATACACCAAATAATTAACAATTTTAACAAAGGCTTATTATAACAGAAATTTTCAATTAAATTTACTTACCTGCTTTCCACAACAGATTGCGCTGCTCATGATTTGAGTTAAATTTTTTTGCAAAGCGATGAGATTCCATGAGGCAATCAACTAATTTCAGAAGTTGTGAAGATGTTAAATGCGGATACATGCCCTCTGGTTCTTGCTGCATACTGTCATGCAACCAAAACTCATTATTTTCCCTTACCTCAGCCTAATTATGAAAATTTATATATTATATAAAAAAGTGAAATAGAGAAGGTATAATGTGATAAATACAATGAATATTTTTTACAGGATAAGATAGAAGAATATGTAATTTCACAGAAGACACTCTATCATATAGACTCAAACTGAGCAAAACTTCAAACTTATACAGACATTTGTTTATATAAAAACTACATGCTTTTCAAACAATACTAACAAATTGGCTCTTTTTAAGAAGATAGTAATTTTTAAAAAAATCCCCCTTTTAAAAGAGACTCATTTCAGTATTCCAAGAAATACATGGTTTTTCTATAAACAAACATCAACCAATCAATCAATTTTTATTAATCATTATAAAACAGAAACACCATTATAAAACAGAACACCATTAACACATTAAAATTCCCCCATAACTTTTGATGAAACAATTCCGTGAATTACATAAAACATAAAAATTTGACTTCTGATAACAACCATTATCTTATAAATCAATATCTATACTCATCAATGAATAGTCTATGATATGTCTGCATCTGCATGTGTGTAATTCCACGATCTACAATGTAATTTATATGGCTGTGCACCCCATTCAACGTTTACTTCTAAATGATGTGAAGTAAGGGCTATCAAATTACAGGCTTCACTAGGGAAAAGGTTTTCCTTAATATACATAATTATTGGTACAATGCTTCTAAGGAGCCATAGTCAGAGCACAGCATAATTGCTCCTTTTCCATATTATTAAATGTAAGTACTGGTGTTTTACTGGGATTGAAATTCTTGGTTAAACTTTCAAAATACATAATCCATGCTTAAAAAATTACTCGAGTCACTTACAGGATTTCATTTGCCACAAACCGACCATTGTGCAATGAATACTTGACTGCACTTTACTTCAACCACCCAGTGATATTCCACAATTCATTTGGATGAAGTTTCACTGGCATTGCAACACAACGATTACTTTGAATATTTTTTATTCATATTTACAACAGGAAACATCCAACTCACTTTATAGGACATGCTGGTATCTGGTTATGCATATTGATGTAGACTAAATGCATTTTCATATAATTTCCTTCATATTAGTTACTGGTTTCATATTCAAGTTCAATGAAAAGTTTTTATTTTAATGTAAATTAACCTTTTTGGCATATTTCCTACAATATCATTTTAGATACTATGACTTCAACATGATGCAAATTTAGAATGAAATTTTCCCCACTTCTTCAATAGCTCATATTTTTGGGAGGTACTTAAGATTTTCAAGACCACTGACAGTTTATCATTGTTCACTGGTGCATATGCAATTATTACCTGTGCTGCAGCAAGGTTCTTCTCATCTTCTTTTCGACTGGTTGCAGGGTAAAAAATTATATTATCAATTGCTTGAATAAGTTCCAACTGGACAATGCATTTTATTCTTAGTGAGGCAAAGAGTTTCTCATCATCATTTTCATTTCCTAAGGAAAGAGAATTTTTTCAACAAATGAGACAGATGGGAAAGAAAAATAAAAAATAAATAAATAAAAAAATAAGAGGTGAAACGATAAAGAAGAGTAAGATATGCATTGAACATTAAAAATAAATACAATAATAGTTTAACCAAAATATGTTGCTAAACAGCTCACTGAAAGTTAGACATTCTGAAAACATGATTATTTCTATCAGTGTGCTTCAAAATTAATTGAGCAACTTTTACAATATAAATCAACACTAAAACAAACACCTTTTATTATAGAATATGTTATATCATATGTTATGTGATTCAAAGTTGAAGGGTAATGCTTCCCCATCCATCTTTCACAACACGTAGCCACAGGTGTGCATATAAAAGACATGTTTTGCATGCACCATCATTAGTCTTTTTATATTTGTTTAGTTTTTGCATTTTTTTCATAGTTAATCTTTGTGGCGCTTTTCAGCTGTGGCAAGGCTTCATTTCTTAGCTATATATTCATTGATTACAACTAGTGACCGAACAGGAGATCTCTTAAAATTACCAAAATAACTTCAAGCTAAAAGATAACAACAGTGCTAACAATGATATCAATTCTTTATTTCTGCTTTCCACTTCAGACTTAATTATACAGTGCAAAGTCCTTAATCCCGACGTCCATAATCCGGACCCTCAAAGCTACAAACTTTTGGTGCATGCGCATAATACGTTTACGCATGCGTGTTTAATGTATAATGGATGGTAAGCTAGGCTAAAATTATCTAATTATCTATTTCAGTTAATGTTACAGATTGTGTTGTTCCTTAATCTTCTAATTGGATCCGGCTTATTATTTATTGCAGACTGTTAGAGCAATATATTGCAGACTGTTAGAGCAATTTTATAAAAAGTAAGCTTGAAATTTCGATTATGTCAAAAAGAGTTTCCGATTTCGAAGCTACCAAAGGATCTACAAAGCGAAAGCATGTGTCGATGTCCATCAAACAAAAAGTGGAATTGCTTCAAAAAATGGATAAAGGCCTATCCTTTGTTTCTCTAACCATTCCGAAATTGGTTTATCAATTTCACGCTGCTCAGCGACGCCCCGCAATGAACTGGAAGTTGATTTGTGAGCACTATCCTCATCTTCAGGGCAGAGGTTTTTATTTTATTCGGCTTATAATTCCTTATTAAATGCAGTATTTCATCTTGACGTACTCCATCTTTGATATGATTTAAATCAAATTCCTCATCATTATAAACATCACAAATACACATCAAATAGTTTTCTGGTTGCAACTTTCTAATTTTGACCATGTGTAATGTATGCTTTACACATGCACGCGTTGAAAGAAATGTTTAAAAAAGTAAACAAATAAATATTAAGCTTTTTTTTTTTTTTTTTTTTTTTTTTGTAAATTTTGATACCCTTTAGATCATAATTGCTCTTTATTTCATAAATTACGGTTTAATATTTTTTATTTTATAATTTCTGCATGTCATCTTACCAGACTTAAATTGATGATCTATAATCCGGAAAAACCCCTTATCCGGAATCGCCGAAGTCCCTACGAGTCCGGATTAAAGACTGTACTGTATTATCTCTTCAATGACTTGATTTTCACTCAATCCAGATATATTAGTTTATATGACATTTGTTGTTAAACTGTCATATTCATCTTTTGTATACAAACGGCACCTTGGAATAGATCGTTACACAAATAAGAAGGCAGATCTCATCATCTGTCTTTGCACTGCAAATGGCACCACATGTGAGGAATAGGAAAGCACCCTCAAGTATCTCAATGCTTTATGTGTGACTATACATCATTTTATGATGAAAGTGTTTGCTTTGGTATGTTCCAGTTTTCCTTAAAATCTGTTCCATTCATTCTGCAGAGTATCAGGCATATACAGTACACATTGGTAGTATCTATACATGGCATTTTATAGAGTACAGTCTAATACCGAAAATCTGCCAACTCCTGAAATCTGCGTTGCCTCTCAGAATGTAAACATTCAGTTTATAGGTTCCAGAAACCGCAACATTGAGTATGAAATATAGGAGAAAAAAATACTTACCGAATAATGACGTCATAATTACCGAATAATAGTGAGTCAAAACGGAAATACCAAATTATTGATATAAAAACGTTAAAAAAAATAAGTTCTTTTCCCTCTAATCTGCATCGATGTAAAAAAGCAGATGATTCACTCAGCTCTTTGTTCAAGTTCACGATTCACGTTGTTGTATTTTCTGAGCTTTGTTATTTCATTTTACGAGATTGTTTAGTGCTGCCTTTTTTTAATCCGGATATTTTGTGGATAAATTAAGAATATTTTTAATTTCAGCCCTTTTCAATACAATGACAGATAAGAAACGCACTCGTGATTTTACTGCTTGCAACGTTGAAAAACGTAAACACGTTGCATTCATGGTAACGCAAAAAGTGCAAATTCTTGCAAAAGATTGAAGCAGGTGCTACTCCGCGATTTATAGCAGAATGGTATGGAATTGCGACACGATTGTGTATGATATACAGAAAAATAAAAAAAAGCTGCTGAAATTTTACAGCAACAGTGATTCTAATACCGGAATCCGATACCGGAAATCTTTGCATGAGGCGAAATCGGCAAACCTCGATGCTGTGTACATATAATACAATGAATAATATAATCAATTTATGTATGTAATAATAATTTAATGCATATAATAAATTAGTGCAATAATGTATACAATAATTTAATTAAATGTATCTAATACGCATTATTCATTTTGCACTTTTAGTTCGAATATTATGCTTTATCTTTTCTGTCCTGAAATCCGCACAACCTTTGGTCCCAAGCTTTGCGGATTTCTGGAATTGTACTGTAGTACCAGTAAATATGACAGTACACGCTTGTCTTTTTAATAAATGATGTAGAACTGGGCATTGAAAATTTACGACTGAAGAACTTGTCAGGCTCACACCATGCACATGTACAATGCATGAAATCATTTGGTAGAGAGCTAAAAACAAATAACCAGTTCTATGCATATTCTGAATTTATTAACATTTTTTTATAGTAGAAAAATATTAAATGGTTTTTTTTTATAGAAAAATGCAGAACTTATGCAATAAGCATCTTACAAAGTAAAACTGAGGCATTTTATATCCAGAAAAGATTTTTCAATTGCTAGCTGAATGTAGAAATACAACTTCTGTCTGGAAAGTTCGGTGAACAACATCACAGTGTTTACAGTCATAAGAGAGAGCAACTGGCGTTACTGAACTAGTTCCTGAATGGCAGCACTGTGAGTGTGTTTATCATGTGGAAACAGCTCATTGTAAAGTGAAGGTATTGTGTGTGTGGTCAAAACTCAAAATGGATCAGAGAACATGCTGCTTTGTTTCAAACTTGGAAAATCAGCAAAAGAGGCTCATGAAATGCTGATCACAATTCACGAAAAACATGCTGTGACCCTGAAATGCATGTATGAGTGCTTTCTCGAAATGCTTCCGAAAATGGCCCTCTTTCTGAAGTGGTCAGCCTGCAACTGCATGCACAACGTACAGACAGTGAAGGAACATTTGGCAAGGGATCATAGTGTGACAGTGTGAATGATAGTGGAAAAAGTGGGAATTGGTCCGAGACAGTTCTCATAGTGATCCACACTTTGACACGAGAACAAATGGAATTTTGGCTTGAGGCCAGTAAAGACTTCATGAACATGGTAGATCAAGAGCCAAATTTCCTGAAAACAACTGTCATGGGTGACGAGACCTGGTGTCTGAGGCACAACCCCGAAGGCAAGTGCCAGAGTATGGAGTGGTGGAGGTCCAGGGTCGCCAAAAAGCAAGGAGATGCAAAGTGAGAAATCCTGCATCAAGACAATGCTCTGGTGTCCTTCAACTCAGGATTTCACCCATAAAGAATTCCTCCCTGATACAACCATGTTAAATGCCACTATGCAGATGAAAATATTGAAACAGCTGCTGCAACGAAGCAAGGAGGTATTCTTCCAGTACGAAAAGCACGGCACAACTCCAGTTGCCTTGCTCCATGACAATGCCTAGTCACACACTGCCTTTCTGGTGCAGCAGTTCCTGACCAATGGGGAAGTTGTGTCCCTAAATCATCCACTCTACTCCCCAGATATTTCTTTGTTCCCCAAACTGAAATCAGCTCTGAAAGGCCAAAGGTTTTTAGACATTTCAGACATCCAACGCAATGCTACGATCCAGCTGAAGGCCATCCGTAAAAATGACTATGCCAAGGGTTTCCAAGATTTATACAGCCATTCCTAGATGTACTTTACCAGCAGTGGGGATTGCTTCAAAAAACAGCAACAGCTGTTTTACGTAAGACAACAATCCATTGTATCTATAGACACATCCACTTAACTTTCTGGACAAAGGTTGTACTTCATTACTTTACTTACAGAATTATAATAAAATTTACTTTGCTAAGCAACAGAAAGACTTTAATGCAATTCTTGCAAAGACTCCTCAACAATTATTACTACTTTTGGCACAATAAAGTACCTCACTACAAAATTTTTTTTAATCAATGCAGATATGCTTACTTATATCACATAAAAGATCTGGCTTACAGTAGTAGCAAAAAATGTCCGAATTCCTCCCTGCATTGTTTATGACTGTTTCAAAAATTAATGTAAAGGTCTTTTATGAAAGCTTTTTTTCAGCACTAATAGTAAACAATTAATGGCAAACAGAAGCAGTAATTCATTTCCGAAGTAACCTTGACGAATTTCTGAAATGTGCTGTTACACCAGTTCATAAAATTTTTGCTTTGAATACGCAATTAAAAGAGTTTTTTTGGGGAGAGAGAGCACATGACATGATACTCTAAATGCGTATTTTACTGATTTTTAAAAGGAGTAGGAAAATTTCTTATATCCCCACTTTTCTTTATGGGGGGGGAGAAAACAAGGCAAAATTTTAAACAAGAAATTAAATAATTTAAAAACATTTGACAGAAAATTTTGAATTAGAGTACTGTGCAAAACTTAAAAAGGATGAAGTGACAAAAGTAATGTAATGTAATGCGACACATGAGAGAAGAACCAAACAGATATCTGTTGAAATTATTTCTTTTCCCCTCTGATGCAGTAAATTTTTCCTTTATTTTTCATTGTCTGTCGCCGACTAGGTCACATGACCGGCGACAGAGAAAGAATGTAATAACTCTTTTAATTTAGCTTGAGAGTGATGCTTGAAATGAGCTTTCTTGGTTGCATGGTGGTAATACGCAATTACAATATTGTTTTTCATATATTTAATCTTGGCCCTATGATGGGTAATTTTATACTACATGTAAATTTCATGTTTAAATAATGTATATATTGTAAATAGTTTCTTCATTAAATCTTACTGTATTTCAATTTGAAACTTTCCCAACTTCTTACAAAAGTTAATCGTGAAACGTGATCAATGTCAGTTCAAGCAAATGTATCAGTTAAACTGAAACTATAACATGGTGGTAAGCAATTATAGATGCTGAGCCTTTTCCCCATTTCATAATGAAATATATCTTTATGAACATTTAAATGATTTGACTTGCAGTCAAAGAGTTCAGTATTAAAGTCAGCATTTCTACCTTTGGAACAAAAGTAAGCTGTACCAAATAGCTGTAACAGTCAATTCACCTAAAACCCATCTGAGAAAAGAAAACTAAGTACTGTTATAGACCAAGACACATTAATACTTCATTCGAAAAACATGACAAAATAAATGCACTTAAGTCCAAGATATACATAGCCAGACAGGTACACAAAGGCAGCTTTTTTTTTTTTTTCAAATGACCAGTATGATACGTTTTGTTAACATCACAGGCAACCTGCCTGTAACAGAATTTATCTCATGCAGAGAGCATAAGCCCCATTTCCATGCAAAATCTGCTTTGTCCTTAAGTTTAGCGCGGAATGTGTAACTTAAACTAACCCAAAGCAATCCTTATTTTATGATTTGTGGATATCAACTCAAATATCCAAATTTGGCAAATTTCAGCACTAAAGTAAAATTCTGAAATATCTTCACTTTCTGCTATCCCACCATTAATCAAAAAGCTCATGAGAAGATTACAGTTTCAAACTGATAAGCAATGACAACTTTTTTATCTAAGTTTCAAATGTAGCTATTTCCACATAGTTACATTGCAAAATTAATACAGTATCATAAGTGCTTTTCAGAGGAGCTCATATGTATGATGGAACCAATCGCATGAAAAGAGTTAAACATTAAAGCTTAGAAGAAAATAAAATTCAATAATTATACTTTTTACAACGGACGGACTACCATCAAAACTTCTTTTTTCACCAGGAAGACTACTCTGATTTTCCAGCTTGTCTGGAGTAATATGTTGGCGACTCTCAATGAGTGTATGTACTTTTTCGACTTTTTCAGGTACAGGATGAATTTGTTGCTGAAAATCCACTTCTCCAAGGTTTTGAAAATTACTACCACCCTTTTCAGTAGTGCGATATGCAACTTTTTTCTCAACAGCACTTTCAGAGGAAGTCAAAGTTTTTATTCTTTCACCTGAACTAGTACTGGACTTCAGGCACTGCAAATATAAAAATCCATATGACTATTAATGTACATAAATTTGCAGGCTATTATACACATAACTGTGTGAAGTTATCATAACAGGACTAAATCTAAACATCAATGATTTCTTCTTTAATAAATTTAAATACTTCTTTTGCATTTTTAATCTGACATACATTCACACAATTGGGATTATCATGTTTGCTTATTTTAAAACTTACTTTATTATCTTTTTCCAAAGTTTTGCTTTCAATAGCTGCAGTAAAATCACTTTTCTCACTTTCAGAAGAGGACTTCCAGGTTAGCAGACTGCAAATTTCAAAAATAAGATTTTGATGCCTTTTTTATTGTCATTATTAACATCTTATTAGCATTAGACATTTTGCACAATTAACAGATTTCCAGAGTCAATATGTAAAAAATAGTCAAAATCAAAATTTTGAGTATTTGATAAATTTACTTACGCTGTTGGAAGAGTTATATTAAAAATTTCCAGCATACAATCACAGGTTTGATCCCACTTATCCTTAGAAAACTTTACTCCATTAGATATGACTAGATTTTCCAAGCAATTTGTACCTGACCTTGCAAGCTGCTCATTGTCTTGTTGCACACATAACTGCAACTGGCTGTACAAACTGTCAAGCATTAGTTCATTTAAAACTTCATAATACTGGGTGAAAACATCGACAACTGAATAAAGGGCATGATTACACGTAGTAGTCATCCACTCATTTTTCTGGGGAAAAAAAAAAAGAGCTGAGATCAATTTTAGGAAGCAAACAAAAATTTTAAAGTCTGGGAAATACAAGTGACAAAAATAATTACTTCTGTTTGCTGTAATTTCATATTGTCAAATATTCGGAAAATTATTTTAAACAGATCCATCCACCAATTGGGTTTATACAGCCAACCATATGTCTTCACAATCTCAAACATCACTGTTAAAGCTCTAAAAAATATACAAACAAAAATTTATTAATTAGGTAATATATGATAAAGCACATATAAGGTGTTTACTTATGAACAGAATCACATGTGAGATACATTTCTAAAGGTTCAGCTCCTGGAAACTGAATACAGGATAAACAACCAATATTTCACGACTTTATCCATTTGGCATCTGGTACATCCAGTGTACACAGATGTATTTTTAACATAGAACTACACCAAATTCTGGCCAAGTAACAAAAATTGTAATTTATCTTGTCCTTTTAAGCATTCCAAAACACTTTGTTGTTTGACTTCTGAATTAGTATTCCAAACACTTCAAACAGAGATACTATTTCCGAGCAAAAACAAATAAAACACAAATTAATTTTTATCCACCAAAATAAATTTTAGTTCATATGTAATTATTGAAACATAACGTAATGAGACACACCAGTATATTCAGCAGACATAGTAAGAGCAGCTGTTACATTTCAGACAAATTCATGAACTTCAACTCTTCACTATCATGTTTATCTTTAAATATATAATAGCACCAACTTAAATTGGTTCCCACAAACTTATATTAATAACTGCTGACCTCCTGAAAGGAAAGCAGGATGAATGTTATTAGCCTGCAAAAAGATTGCAACAATTTGGTAGAAAAATACTCCAACAGCTATTGAAATGAACATACCTTAACAGCTGAACGGAGCAAAAAGGAGCATGACTGTTATTCCCCATCATCTGGTCATTCCACCTGTGACATATTTGGCAAGTTCCAGATAGCACGTTACAGAGAGATATTTAGTGACAAAATGGAGTGTGTTATCACAACCTTAAAATTTCAACTGGCATCTGGAAGTCATGTCAGTAGTTGCACCATTCACGGGTATTCTATCTACACTTGGATTCTACTGGCAAACTGGACCACATACGCCAATAATCACTAAACTGAATGCTCGGTCTTAACATTGGAAAAGTATCATGTGAAGTGATGGATCCGCTTATATATTGTCAGGGCAGGCTCCAGCATTTTCAGTATCCTAAGCAAATACAGTTCATGTCCCATGAAAATTACGGTAAAATAAATTGTCCCTTGTGAGAACAATTTAGCTGGCACACTCTGAAAATTAGTGATCTAAAGCTGCTTGTGCTGCCTATGCCTGAGCCAGTTTTGCATATTGTGGCCTCTTTAATGGAAACAAATGTGTGTGAGTGTTACACAACTAATACATTGTTTCCACTGTGAATTTTGGAGAATAAAGATTAGGTAGGGGAACTGTTCTTGGTTTAATCTTAGATCATTGGTTTTTGTACCTTTAACATGGAAAGCTGAGGGATATGAGACAAAACTGTATTGGACAAATGTGCTACCCACCTAGGAACAATAATTTGGGATTGGCCCTTATCGTTATCCGCAAAATGAGTCAGCTGTTTATAAAGTGAAAGCCAAAAGGGGTTTGAGGAAATAGGAATAAACTTGACCAATGGGACAAAAAGCCCAAATTTCAAACAAATCGACAATCTCTAGAATAAATTACACCATCTCTAGAATAAATCTAGAATAAATAAGCACCATCTGAGAGCTATATCATCAGCCCTAACCTGGTCAGCATGTTGCAAAAAGACCGAAAGGGAAAAAAAAAAAAAAAACCCTGTAAGTATCTACTGTGCATTTTTTTTTTTTTCAATGGGCAGATGCTATGATGGCAGGCGTGCATCATAACATCACCACACAGCTACCAGTGAAACAATTTTCTGTGGCTGTCTGGCTGGCAGCAACCCAGTGCTGATCTCTGACCAAAAATCACAGAAAAGGTGGTGTATATATTTTTTAACAGTTTAGATGTGATCTAAGAGAAATTTTAGCCAAACAGAGATCTAAAAACTCTATTTGGAAGCTGATGCCATAGAACTCTTGTATTCTCATTATTAGAAATTCAGGTTTGTGATGATCCGGAATTTCTGAATCAAAGAGTTCTTGGAAAAAACTGACTCATAGGACAGCTAAGAAACTAAATGAAGAATTAAGCTTCCTGGATGCTGGGATAATGATATGCGATTAGCTAAACAGCAAGTCACAACACATAGAAAATAAATAGAAAGACTCTTATGCAATTTGAAGAACAGAGGATTGGGGACAGATAAGGTTTTTGTTGGTTCATGCAATGGATTTTTTTACAATCTTCAGATATTTCCTCATAATTTTGAAGTCTATTCATACTAAATTTTTATTAAGTATAAATGAAAGGTAATTTTTTAAGGGCATTAACCCTCTGATATTTTAACATTAACAAAATTTCCTGTTCACTTGATCAAGAAGCAAATTATTCTATAACTTCTATACAGAAAATTCTAAAACAATGCAACAAAAGACAAATTTAAATGCCATCAAATATAAATGAGAAAATTTAGAGTGGAAGAAATCAAACAGAGCACAAACACCATATGAATTTGAAAAAAGAATCTGAGCAGAATAGCAGATGCTTACATGCAAATAATAAGAGGACAGAAAATGTCTTACCTCGTTCTTACATCTAGTTTACACCTGCTGACAATATATGACAATTCAAACAGAATAGGAAACCAGCCACGCACCCAAACCCTGTCACCTTCTGGTACACTCAAATCTTCAGTATTATGTTCACTAAACATCTAGATTGAAAAACTTGTTATCAGAACTCAATGTGGCTATAAAAATATAAAAGGCACTTTTACAAAATGAATAAATGTAATATTACTTGTGGTTCATCAGCTGCGTATTTAGCACAATGTCGTATCAAGCGGATAGCTTCCATGCTTGTATCAGGAAAACTAGCATTACAAGCAAATTCACTCAGACATTTGATTGCATCTTGAAAAGAATCAATAAGAGCAGGAAAATATTTATCATAAAGAACAGTGATGATCTTTCCTGTTGTCTGAAAAGCTAGTTCTACTATAGCCTCTTGATCATCAGCTGCAGCCAAATGAAAAACACTAAATATGTTCTTCCATCCAGATTTTATTTTTTGTGCTTGTGAATTTACCATCTGAGCAATACACCGAACGACCATATCTCTGATAGCTGGTGATCTAAAGGGGACAAGAAGACAATAGGGAAAATACATTAAACTCTGTAAATATACAAACATCATCACTACTGTATTTATCTAAATAGTTTCATTAGAAAGACTTTCTCTAACTCATTAAAAATAATAGAATGTTACTGAGATTCATTTAAAGACCCATTTTATCTAAGTGCTCAGCAGTTTTTCATATGCATTGCACTCTCAAGGAAAAAAAAAAAAAAAAATCATACATAGTTTACATCATTGAACTATCTAAAATATGTCAATCACCCCTGGTATTACTGTTTGAGAAGCAACTGCTTAGGAATCCATCAACTACAACTATAATGATTCTTCATAGCATTATAACAGTCTATCAATAAGTTAGTATCCGATGACTTGTGCTGAAAATATTATTGCTGCATCTGTCAGGACCAACTTTCAGGATGATAATGCACATCTGCACATGAATATCTTCAGCGAATACTAGTGTAACATCACAACCTTCTCTTTGCAAGATAGATCTCCGGATCTTTCCCCAACTGAGCATGTGCGAGTCAGTTAGGATGTTGTTCGTATGCATCTGGCAGCACTCCCAAATATACTGAGCAATTACAGAATATCTCGCAGGAAATTCTAGAAGACAATATTTAACATTTCTACAAGTCCATACCAAGACTAAATATCCTCATATACTCATATACTGTATTCTATTGTATCATACTAATATACAATACAATTTCAACAATCAGTGACTGCATAACCCACAGATACCTGTACTGCATTGATATTTGCATGTAAACATGGAAAAAAATTTCAATTTTCAGAAAACTCAGCATGGTAAATTTAATGGCAATTTTTCCTATAATGTACACTGCTCAAAAAAAAAAAAAAAAAAAAAAAAAAAAAAAAATGGGGACAGTCCTATATCTCCCGATCTACTGGGCGATTGACAAAATTCAAATTGCGTTCTTCATGTCTCGAAAGCGCGACTTAGGATATATATTAGATTTATACGTAGCACTATTCTAACATAGGTATTTTGATACAAAATCGGACTTTTTCTGAAATAACATACCAATTTTTTTACATATTTCGATTCTACGACTCAAATTACGCCTAAATACGAAATTTTGTAAAACTTGGAGTGAAATTACGGAGAAATTCACAAATTTATGTTGGCACTTTTTTTTGTCAGTTTGCGCCAAGAATACTTCACTTGGCGAAACTTCTTAATATATGGCAACCTAGTTTCCTTAGGAAAAAAGTCACCATCGTTCCTTTTTTCCACAAATAATATTCTTTATATTATATTTTTAATTATAACTTTTATTTTAAGTAATTTTTTCTTTTCGAATTTCATTTTAATTGTTTAAGTTGCACGTTTTTTTTTTTTTTTTTTTCGAATAACTGTTTTAAAAATTTCTATTTACCTATTCGAACTGCGTAAATAAAGGTGCAGCGTTTATTTATTTATTTTTTTTCAAATAGTTTTCTTTATATATATTTTTCGTCATAGCTATTATTTTAGGTCATTTTAAAATTTTTATACTTTTATTTTAATTGTTTGTGTTGCATTGTCTCTTCAAATAATTGTTTTAAAATTTTCTATTTATTTCTTCGAACTGAGCATTTTGAATATATTTATTAATATCAATTTTCCAGAATTTGATTTTATTTATTTGAACTGATTTTTTCAGAAGAATACTTTGTAACCCAGACTACGATGCGTTTGAAAACTGCATACTATATTAAAAGAGAAAATACAGTAAAGCACAGTTTTACACACCTTTCAATGTTCCGTTCAGAAAAAATATATATAAATAAGAGAGATGTATAACCGATATTTTAACTTAGGATGACTTGCATACACTGCTTTAAACAGTTTTATCATTGTGCCCATTGCTTTACACAATTTTATCCTACATTTGGTTTCTTAAAATGTTATTCATATTTTAGTCAAATTATTTTATTTTTGAAATCGCAAGAATCAAATATATCATAAGATTGAAAAGTTTTTAAATTTAAAAAAATACGAATACTAAATTTTACGAAAAAATTTTATTTTTCTTTCTCTGTTTCTTTAAGCATTCTGAAAGTATATTGAAAAGTATCCAACTTTTCGAAGCATTTTGGTATTTCTGACAATCATTTTAAATAAAGTTATCGCCTTCCATTTCATAAAGGCCCACAAATGGCCGAGCGGTAAAGTTGCTGAACACTGGTAGTTCACTCCGGGGGGTTTCGAACCCCGGTAAACGGGCTGGTTTTGCATGGGCGTTTTTTCGTGGATTTTCTCATGTGTACCGCGCGTATGACAGCTGGTTTCCCTTAGAAAGTCTTCACGAAGTATTTCGTCAGAGCCTTTATCAGTCTTTAGAGGCTAAACATTTTGAAGGTATGAGATGAAGGGAAAGACTGGTTTCATCAAAAGGTTTTGGTTTATTTTATTATGACAAAGCACACTACGGCTATCTGCCTAAGGGTCGGGATGCCTTCCTGGAGGACTTTCTAAGGGAAACTGGTTCGCATACACTTACACATGGGGAAAACCACGAAAACGTCCATGCAGCCAGCCCGTTCGCGGGATTCGAACCTCGGACCGAACTACCAGTGTTCATCGAATTTACCGCTCGGCCGCTAGTTCATCAGGAAGGGAAAAAAACATCTTTAAGTGACATCCACATACATCACTGGATAAACTCCTGAATCTTCAAATAATTCAACTGAGGAAATCATGGGATTCACCATTTATGATACGATATGATGTTCTATAACGTAATTTACACAACCATATAGTTTAAAACCAGTCGCTCTTCACTTTAATCTGCAATGATATCGTTTTTTGCCTTTCTGTTAACACAAGCTCAATTGATGGTATTTGCTGGTTGTACTCGTCCAAGTGTTTTCTCTTTGAACACCTAAATTCTTTGAAGTATATCCTGAAAGTATATTCGAAAGCATCCAACTTTTTGAACTTGGTACGTCTGACAGCCAAATTTCCTTCCCTGCAAATTTTTGCTTACTTTTCTCCTAATTTTTCTTCTTTCACAGTGCTCACACAAGAAATCGAAAGACTTCCATACATTTTGCAAAAATTTTTAAAATATCAAATATGAATGCAAAGACAGCTTTCATTTTCGTCCATCTATAAATAAAGTTGTAAAGCGTTCCAAAGGCTTTTAAATTGCTAACAAAATAAAACAGTCCAGCAGGGTTTTTCTGTACCACAGAGTAACCCGATTCTTATATCGGCTGAAACATCTAAATCATATTAAAGATCCTTTTTTTATTTTATATACGCGAGAGAAAATTAGCTTTATTTGCTAAGAGAATTATATACAAATTTTATATATATTATTTTTTAAAGTTGGGACTGAACCAAACTGTCAGACTTTTAAACTTTACATGGTGGTTAATTAAATTCCACTGTTGAAATGGTCATAAAAGGAAAACTACCGGACCAAATGTTATCAAACTTGGAATCGTGTAAAGGAGGTTATGAGAATTTATTTTCGGCGGAAAAAAAAAAAAAGAGTTCAAAACTCACCATCAGGGGAAAAATGGCGCTGTATACAATTGTTAAATGAAAAAAGACACGAAACATGCTTTAAAATGTGTTTAATATTTTCCGAAACGTGTTTACAAAGCATGTTCAATGTAGCGTCCAGCATTTTCCGAAAGCAAGTTAAATCATGTTACTGCATTCTCAAGCAGCTCTTGCATATCAAGGTTTGGTTTTTGGTTTGGTTTTTAGATTTACGGCAAAGCACTCGAGGGCTAATCTGCCTTTAAGGGAGGGATGCCTTCGTGAGGACTTTTAAGGGAACTGGCTCGTATAACGTTACACATAGCATATCAGGAGGAATGTTAAGTGTATACATTTTTCATCTTTTGCCATTTTAGATTATCACCATAACAGTGCTTTTGAATAACTCATAGACAAAAGTCACAGGGTTGAGTCTGTGGGGAGGAAGTGTTGGCCTGTAAGACGTTCATTCGTGAAATGTTGCCTAAGTACTATGCGACACTCTTGAGGTGGTGCCCCCTGCATAAAATCGTAGTATCTAAATGCCACGTTACTGCAGTTATGTTCAACGAAAATTTTAAATATTTTCTAAGAAACTGCAATCGAAGGTGGTCCAGCTGTCGACTGGCTCTTCAAAAAAAAAATGGTTCAGTTTATAAAAAGCTGTCATTCAACAGTAAACGGTGTGAAATGACTGTTATGCAATGAATGCAGGAGAATGCAATGGAAATAGATAGATACATGAGAGATTTCTTTGGCCCAAAATCCGATTAAAGCGTTTTGAATCAGTATCTTCATGTTTTAGTGCCGAATTCAGGCTTAAAAATTACAAATTAGCATCTGTAAGAAAACGATTTCCAGATTGGTACGCACTTGTGAGAGTGATTTTGCGATCTCACATTTTCTAAGCGCTAATTCGTGTTTCACGGACGAAATTCTCACTTACAGTCCGCACTCGACATTTAATCGAATTTTAACGTCTTTAAAAAATGTAATTTGCTACTTCAAGTTTTAAGGTATACAATAACCCGTTTAACAAAAAGGTTAAGTTAGATTCGACCCATATTTCGTTTAACAATTTGCATACAGCGCCATTTCCCCTCCCCGTTGGTGAGGTTTGAACTTCCTTTTTTTTTTTTTCGCGGAAAATAAATTTCCCATGACCTCCTTTACACGATTTTCCAAGTTTATAACATTTGATCCAGTAGTTTTCCTTTTATGACCGTTTCAATGTGAACTTAATTTAACCACTCTGTATATTATTAATTTTAATTTGAAGCTATGATTTATGTATACTATGCGTAAAGTTTTCGCTTTTAGGAAAAATAAAAAATCGAAAAAATATACTTAGTATAAATGGACCAAACTGAAACATTTCCCCTCCCTCCGAAAATAAAATATTGAAATTTGAACTTGAATTTACGGGTTATCGAAATATTTAATTTGACTTATTCTAAGTCCTAGTTCCGACAACAATTCCGTCAAAAATTCCGAAT